TTAAGACTAAGTCGAGTGTGTGACACTCTGTCCTTAAGACAGATTCGCCCCGCTACGGTACTTACGGTTGAGTGGCGTCTATCTCCCAGGATACAATGATCTTCACAAACTGTAGTAGTACTCCAAACAATTTGTTCGGCGAACAAAACCTGTGTTCTAACTCTCTGAATTTTATTCTAATACTAAAATGAAGAATAATGCACCAATGCATAATTTAGGACAGCAAAAGGACAATCATCAGACTGAATTTTTTGGATGTTTAGACTGCTGGAATATGGCTCTATATATAGGCAACATTTACACAGCCCGAACAGGTATGAAACAAGGTCAACAGGTGCTTTAGGAATCCGAACAGGTACAGTTTGAAATAGGATCTGACCGTTTGCTTGGAACAATATTTTCAAACCTTTTTTGAAAAAGTATCCGTTGCACTTTTTGAACATATTTATACAAACAGATTTTCAAACTAATTGAAAAATGTATCCCTTGCAAACAAATATTCAAACTAACAAATATTCAAACTGTTGGAATATTCTTATTTAAACTATATGAATAGTTTAATCAAATAAAGCCAATAGTGGAATAGATTTATTAAAACCTATTTGGAATATAAATATTAATCTATTTGACAAACTTTAGGAAACTACTTTAGGAATCCAAAAATTTGAATTTAGATTTAAATTAAATTCCCACAATAATTTTTTTATTAAAAAAAAATTCAAAAGAATTTTATCTAAAAAAATTAATGTTAGATTCGAAAACGACGTCAACTTCCCATTCACTCAAAAATGGTTTTGATGTTTCGTCTTTACCGTGTGATTTGCCACGCGGCAAGGAACACTTCACCTCTTCGGACCCACACTTCTTCGGACCCACCCCAAAAGACGTTTGGGGCCCACTCAAATTGAGCTAAAAAATATGCCTATATTAAATCATTTTTCCAACAGTACCTTCTAAGGTGGCTGAAATGGAGTTTTTATGTAGGCATTGTAAAGGGGAAATTGGTGTTTAAATTATATTTGTTTATTCTATTACTCTACTTTATTTTTTATCTTCACCAGTATTTTCTATTGGCTTGGATTTCTATCCTAAGGCATGCTTGCTTCTTCTAACGAGGTTGCTTGTTGTTGGAGAAGAGCATGCACATATTGTACATAACACATCCTACAAGCCTAAGGAAAGGCCTTAGAAGTGTGGCAGGAAGCAAAGGCATGCATTGGCATGCTTGGGCCAATTTCCTCAGCTCAAAATAAATTTTGATTTCTCTTTCTTTTTTTTTTTTGGAATTGAATTGAAATTGACTCCAATAAAATATTAGTATATATATATAACCTTTTTTTATCTATTTATTTATTTATTTATTATTATTATTATTATTTTAATTGGATGGTTTTCTTCCTACTAAACTCTAACTAGCTTATTTACTATTAATTTAATCTATTTAGTTTTCACAACTGCATTAGCTATAGAATTTAATTTTATTATTATTTATTGATTTATTTTTTTCACAGGAAGATAAATAATTTTATTTAGGAATTTAACATTGGTATTAATCATGATGTTATTAACACTATAATTTGATAATTTAATAATCACTATTAATTGACTTAATATTGTTATTAACAAACTAATTAGTTGTCAACAACTTCCGAAATTTATCAATTTATTCGGACATCAACTTCCGAAAATACATAATTATTTCGGTAGTACATTTCCGAACAAAATAACAAAATTCGGCACTGGTTATCCGAACGACGCTGCGAAAAAAAAAAAAAAAATTAAACTCACATTTCCTTCGCTCTGCTTCACATGAATACTTATTTGCTGATTTTCAGAAGACAAATCCTCCATCACAAATAAGTAATGAAGAATGAGGAAGGAAGAATGAGGAAGACAGCTTGTGGAAGGAGTGTGGAGCTTGTGCAAGGAGCTCTGGTATGGAGCTCTGGTATGGAGTCTGTGTGTGTGGATTATTTAGCAAAATGAGGAAGCAGAGGCATTGCTTGCAACGTGTGTGTGTGTATTGAGAGGATGTGTGTTTATTTGAATTGTGTGAGATGTCTATAATGGTAATTTTATTTAGGGATAAAATTGTAATAAAAATAAAATTCATTAAGTGTGTGCAAAGAGTGGAATTGATGTGTGCAAATAGAGGCTCCCCATAAACAAATATTAATCCAAAAAGTAAAAAACAACTTTTTATTAACTTCCTAAATCATTTTTTAAAAAAGTCAAAAAACTTAATAAAAAGTCAAAAATTAATTTTTTATCATTTTTCCAAAACACCACCCTATCGTATTTATGTAATCAAACAATTTCAAACACGTAAATCATATTCTAGGAATTTTGTTTGCAAAACGTGTATCAAGGAACTACCAAAACAGAATAGTGGGAAAAATGGAATATAGAATATATACATGTATCGTGTGTTTATGTATAATATAATGACTCCAAAAATAAAATAGTTTACATAACATCTCTAATATGGGGGAAAAAAAAGTTATTAGAATATAAGTTCAACTATATGAGATCAATTGAAATATAAGAATATATTATGGATTAAATAAGGTATAAGTCCATAAAACTTTTTCCCAACTAAATCTCTTTAAAATGATTAATATAATTATGTGAAAATAATGAGAGAGTATTTTTCTAAACCTAATGGTAGGTTAGTGTAATTTACCCTAGTTAGGTTTCGTTTGGTAAGTGAGTTGGGATTAATTTAATTTACTAAAAAATAAAATAGATGAAAAAATCAATAACATAAAATGTCACATAAGAACTACAATCATTTCACTTTTCACAAAACTTTAAAAAAAAAAAAAAAAAAAAAAAAAATTATTCCCAAACAAAACTTTTTTAATCATACTAAAAAAAAAAAAAAAAAAGGCTAAAAAGGTTGTTTCAAAGAAGGATGGTCTCATTTAAAAACATGTTATTTTAATAATTTTAAAATTATTTACAAATAATAATAATAATAATAATAATAACAATAACAACAACATATAATAATTTTTTGATTAAAATATTGAGATATTTACACACAATCCTTAATTTATGAACTTCTATTTCATTAAGTCCTAACTAAGATTTTTTAGACCTTCAAGTTACATTAAATTTTTAATAGTCAAAATTGCATTTCAAAAATGATTGTTCATCATTTATGATTATTTATAAATGAAGGCGATAATTTGACATTTATTTTGATTTTCAAAACTTTAAAACATTAACTTTCAAATTGAAAAAACTAAAAAAAAATTATGTGTGGAAAAACTGAATTATTTTTTGTACAAAACTGAAAATTTTGTTTATAAAATATCAGGATGATAGAACATTGATGTGCAAAAAGAAAAAAAAAAATTTAAAAATGAAAAAATTGATAATGTTCTCGATTTTATTGGATAGTTAAATCAAACCAATAAATAAAAGGACAAAAACTTTAAATCTTATGCTCTGTTTTTTTCATCAGTTAATAAAACAATTATTTGAAATATTGTTATGTAAAATTGACAATATTTTTAGTTTTAAAAATTAAAAAAAAATTGATAATATTTTTAATTTTACTAAATAAAATTTTTAGTTCAAAAAACTAATTAGTTCAATTTTTTTTTTGATAAAACCTAAACTATTATAACATTTATAAATACAACTACTAAGCTAATTAACTCTAAAATATTCACAACGAGGCGAATTGGGCACGACAACTCGTCCTTAACAAGAGCAGGAGTTTCCTAGCAGCCAAACAGACGGATTTTTTCTCTCTAAACTTCTAATATCATCTCTTGTTCTCTCTCTCTCTCTCTCACACGCACAACTTGAACGCAGTGTTTGCACTTGGAAGCTGCAGTTGCCCTCACCGGCATTCCAAAACGATCCCTATATGATCAAAACCATCTCGATCTAGTCGCCACCGCGAGCCACTTCACACTCTGCCACTTCAATTTCTCCGGCAACCGTACGCGGCGGCGATGGAGCCGGACGTGAGCGTCGAAACCAGTTGCATGATCCGAATCGCGGTCCTCCCGATCGGACCAATCCCTCCCTCCCACTTCCGAGACTACGCCTCGATGCTTGCTCGCCACCACAAGATCGAGCTCTCCACGATCAGTTCCTTCTACACCGAGCACCAGAAGAGCCCCTTCTCGAACCAACCCTGGGACTCCGGCAGCATTCGGTTCAAGTTCATGGTCGGTGGATCGGCGGCGAGTCCCTGGGAGGACTTCCAGTCCAATCGGAAGATCTTAGCTGTTATCGGTATTTGTCATTGTCCTTCATCTCCCGATCTCGAATCTGTCATCGAACAGTTCTCTAATGCGTGTAAGAGCTACTCTTCTTCGCTCGTCCAGCGATGTTTCGCTTTCTGCCCCGGTGATTCTCAGGTTCGATTCTGTTTGTTTCTTGTGCTGCATTGATTGCAAAAATTCGTACTTTTTAGGAAATATGGAAATTGACTTTGGGATTGGGATTTCAGAGTTTTGAATTGGCCACAATTCTATGTGATGTGGAATTAAAAAGGGCTGATAATAAGAATAAATGTTAGTTAGAGTGGAAATCAACAATGAATTTGAAATTGATCGATTTTTCTTCAATCGTTGAGTGATCTTGTGAGTGAACCCATTGTATTGTTTGTACCAGAATTATCCTATTTATGTATGCTGTAGTGCAATTAACTAGGACTGAGAAGACATGTATCCTCTAGGAGATTTAAATGATCATGAGTGAGAAATTTAACTTTTGTGGTTGGAGATACCACTGCACTTCAATGCTCTTGAAGCAGTGTAACTGAATTTGATTAGAACTTGGGAATGCAGAAGACTTAACATAATTGTTTTGATCATTGAACGGAGTAATGTCCATCTAAATGTAGGACTGTGGCTCCTACTGTTTTGAGGATTTTATGCTCATCTTCCTTCTATTAATTTAGGATTTTGTGCTCATCTATGTATTAATTAAGTTTTTTCTATTTCGTGTCATGTATTTTCATAAATATATATATATTTTTTTTAGTGATTAAGAAGTAATCTTAAGGATTATGAGTTCATAAAAATTACTAGTATGGATGAATAGTTGGAGGTGGGAACTAGGGAGAAGAACTACTATGTGAACTAGGTGGTCCTTTTGAAATTGCATTCTACAGTTCGTATGACATATATACACATAAATCATTTTGGTGTTTCATGTTCCTGGGCCTTTATTCATCTTGTTCTAAATTTTGCCTGTAGGCTGTAGTTAAGAAATTATAGTATTATACTTCTTCTCATGATCGAGTTAGCAATCAGCATTGGTACTGACCTAAATAGAAACAAATTTATTTACCTTCTTGGGTATTTACTCTATAACTGAGAAAATTTATTGCAAATTTATTTACAAGAAAGTATCAAACTTATTTACAAGAAAGTATCAAACTTTAGGTATCAAACTTATTTACAAGAAAGTATCAAACTTTATTGCAAATTTATTTACAAGAAAGTATCAAACTTATTTACAAGAAAGTATCAAACTTATTTGCAAATTTATTTCTTCTCATGATCGAGTTAGCAAATTTATTTACAAGAAAGTATCAAACTTTATTGCAATTTTGAAATTGGCTATAACTGAGAAAAATGTTGGTCTGTAGGGAAAAAAATAGCGAGTCTATTGCCTTTTTAGTGTTGGTTTTAATGAAGTTTGTGTTATATGACAATGTTGTATGTTTGAAACGTGCTGGTTCTGTCTTTCCAATGCTGGTTTTGTATGAAGTTTTTGTTGGCTTTTTGAGTGGAGTGTTCTCTTGTTTATTGTTGAAATTGTTTGAGGGAAACATCTTTAGATTTGATTTGTCTCTTTTTTCGTGACATGGATAAATTACTTACTTTATATTATGTTGCAGCTAGAGGATAACAGCAGAAAAGAGGGTAATTTAGTTCTGTTTCCTCCTGCTGATCGGCAAACCCAGGAATTCCACTTGCACACGATGATGCAAGATGTTGCTGCCTCATTGCTGATGGAATTTGAAAAGTGGGTTCTTCGACCAGATTCTGGTGGCACTATTCTGAAGACACCTTTAGACTCTCAAGCCAATCTCAGCTCCGAGGAGGTTTATGTTTTAGGTGTCTTAAGGATTTGATTCTATGTTCACCTTTGATTCTCCTATTTCATTTAGGTTTCAGTTGATTTTAAGACACCATGCATCCTGAATATTGCCACTTATCATTTTGATTGACAAAAATGCAGGTGATTAAGGCAAAAAAGCGTAGACTTGGTCGTGCCCAGAAAACTATAGGGGATTACTGTTTATTGGCAGGATCACCTGTTGATGCCAATGCCCATTATTCTACTGCATTAGAGCTTGCCAGGTTGACTGGGGATTATTTTTGGTATGCTGGGGCATTGGAGGGCAGCGTTTGTGCATTACTGGTATGCATACTCTACGAAACATGATCATGTAGGATTCGTTTTGAGAAAAAAATTGATAAGATAGATACTTGCACTCATATACGAGTGCTTGTACTATGTGCATGGTATGCAAAGATCATCTACATGTATGATTTCCCCACTACTATAGTTTACCGCATTTCATTTGAATTGACAAAATATGAAGATTATAGTTTGGAGATTTCCTATTGACTCTGGTTCTTGCTTCCTTTACACAAGTTTGTACCCTTGTCTACCTTTAATCCATCATACATATCCTGCATGCATTTATTTTAATGTTCTTTGTGTTCTTAGGTTGACCGAATGGGCCAGAAGGATCCAGTTCTAGAGGATGAGGTTAAGTACCGGTACAATAGTGTCATCTTGCATTACAGGAAATCATTTATACAGGATAATGCACAGAGGTATTTCCTGCTTCAATCCTTTTGGTGCATCTTGTTTTGAATAATTGTGATGCTCCAACTGTTGTCTAATTGTACTAGATATGTGTATAATATCTTGTATGTGTCCTGAAGTGTAGGAATATAGACATTGTTTTGACATATATCATATGTACATGCATAACACCCTTCCTTGACTATGGATCATGAATTGAGTGTTAGAATGTGTTAGGATATTTCCTATTCTATCTCTTTATTTGCTGTAATGGGCCTTTATTTAGGCCTTAACTTATGTTTATGATTTAATATAAAAGGGTATGATAAACCACTCATACCCTAATTTTTCCTCTTCTAAAATTAACATGGTAGCAGAGCAAAACTAAAAGAAGAAAAAAAAAAAAAAAAAAACTAGCCATACCACCACAGCACCACCATCGAAAGCCCACAAGCCCCAGGCGAAGGCACCTAGGGTTCCGACAGCCCCAGTCGAAGGCACCTAGGGTTCCGACAGTCCTAGTCGGAGTCACAACTCCAGTCGAAGGCACAGGCGTAACCCGTAGGGCTCGTCGAAACCTTCTTGCTCCAGCCTTGTGGTCTGTCTTCGTCGACATCTCTCTCTTGGTCTCTACATGTAACCCTTTCGTCTTCATCTCTCTCTTTGTCTTCGTAATATGTAAGTCTCTCTCTGTCTGTCTTCTCTCTTTGTCTTCGTAATATGTAAGTCTCTCCGTGTCTGTCTTCTTCTCTTCGTAATCTCTCTCTAACAATCTACTTAAAAAAAAAAAAATGTTCTCTTAAATTTATTTTTAAATTCCTTATTATATTCTCCCATCTTTCGAGTTTGCGATTCACTTTGGGTGTGTTTGTGAGGGTTCCGTCGCGACGTCTTTATGGCCGAATTGACTAGTGAGTCTACTACTTCACAGCCTGCTACACAGGGCACGAGTCCTGTTTTGACTACTTCGATGACCGATTCTCTCCACCCTGGCCAGAAAATCACCACCTCTCTCTTTAATGGTCAGAACTATCTAGCTTAGTCGCAGAGTTTGACTATATTTTTGAAGAGCAAAAGGAAGATGGGATATGTTGATGGGCGTGTTCAGGCTCCCAGTATCACTGATACAGGTTATGATCAGTGGGAGATTACCAATTCTCTTATCATGGGTTGGTTGATACACTCTATGGTTCCGGAGATCGGTGAGGGATATTTGTCTATGGACATAGTCGCAGAGTTTGACTATATTTTTGAAGAGCAAAAGGAAGATGGGATATGTTGATGGGCGTGTTCAGGCTCCCAGTATCACTGATACAGGTTATGATCAGTGGGAGATTACCAATTCTCTTATCATGGGTTGGTTGATACACTCTATGGTTCCGGAGATCGATGAGGAATATTTGTCTATGGACACAGCACAGGATATTTGGGAGGCTGTGGCCACTCTGTATTCCCGCAAAGGTAATTTCTCACAGACTTTTGAGTTGCGACGCTCTATTGACCGGTTCGTTCAGGGTGAGATGACTATTTTTCAGTATTTTACTTTCCTTAGCAATGGGTGGAAGCGCCTTGATCATCTTCAGGACTACAAGCCTGTCTGTCCCACAGATTCTGCTGGTTACCGGAAATTTGTTGAACAAGTGCGAGTCTTCAAGTTTTTGGAAGGTTTGAATGTGGGGTTTGATCCTGTTCGAAGTCGTGTGCTTGGTATGGATGCACTTCCTTCTCTCCAAGAAGCGTTTGCTTATGTGCAGAATGAGGAGAGTCGTCGTTCTGCTATGCTTTCGGCTGTCTCTTCTGATCGATCTGCCCTAGTTTCTGCCCCCTCTCAAGATGGGGATCGTAGTTCTCGTCCTTCTTCTGAAAAGGATATTCTCTTCTGTGATTTTTGTCGTCACCCTTGCCACACCCATGAGACTTGTTGGAAGTTGCATGGGCAACCATTTGGAGGTCGTGGAGACCGTTCTGGTTCTCGAGGGGATCACTCCGGACAGTCTCGAGGCCGTGGGCCCAATGCCCGAGCCCATCATTCTGATGTAGTTGAGCCACAATCCACAGCTCCAGTTGATTCATCTGCGGACATCTCGGGGTTTTCTACTTCTGAGTTAGAGGTTGCTCTTCGCCACTTGCTAGACCGTCAGGCCTCTGGTTCATCTTCAGGTAATATTGCCCAGTCAGGTAACTTAGCTTCTTCTACAAGTGTTTTCCTCTCTCATCAAACGTTACCTTGGTTTATCGATTCTGGTGCTTCTGACCACATGTCTGGTTCTTCTGATTTGTTCTCCGCATATACCCCTTCTTCAGGGCAGGATAAAGTTCGTATTGCTGATGGTACCATTTCTTCTGTGTCTGGGAAAGGTTTAATTCATGCCACTGTTTCTCTTCCTTTATCTTCTGTCCTATATGTTCCCAATTTTAGTATTAATCTTTTGTCTTTGAGTCGTATTCCTCGGGACTTAAATTGAAGTGTGACTGTTTTCCCTGATCATTGTCTGTTTCAGGACCTTATTACGAGGAAGATGATTGGCAGTGGTAGACACGAGAATGGTCTCTATATCTTGGATCAAGCCGACAAGCGGGCTCACTCATCCATTCAGTTTCCATCTACGAAGGAAGACATCTGACTGTAGCACCGCCGTCTTGGGTATCCATCTTTTTTGTTACTTAAGCATCTTTTTCCCTCTGTTTTTTTGAAAAATAATATTTTTGAGTTTCATTGTGAGTCGTGTCAACTTGGCAAACAACACAGAGCTTCTTTTGTTCCTTTTATTAATAAAAGTTTAGTTCCTTTTTCTTTAATTCATTCTGATGTATGGGATCCCTCTCGTTTTGTGTCTTTAAAGGGTCAAAGATGGTTTGTCACCTTTATTGATGATTGTTGTAAGACCACCTGGGTGTATCTTATGAAGGACAAATGTGAGGTGTTTTCTGTGTTTCAAAATTTTCATAAAATGCTTTGCACTCAATTTGGGGCAGTTGTCAAAATTCTGCATTCTGATAATGGGGGGAATACATTGATTCTGGACTTGCTAGCTATTTTGCCACTCATGGTATTATTCATCAAACTTCTTGTACCAATACCCCTCAACAGAATGGTGTTGCCGAGCGTAAAAATCGGCATCTTCTTGATACTGCGCGTTGTTTATCCTTTGAAATGCGCGTTCCTCGATCCTATTGGGGGGAAGCGGTTCTCACTGCTGCCTTCCTCATCAATCGGCTTCATACCCAGGTTCTTCATAAACAAACTCCTCTTCAGGTTTTGTTCGGCTTCCAAGCTTCTGCTGCCTTCTCCATTCCTCCCAAAACCTTTGGGTGTGTGTGCTTTGTTCATAACCATTCTCCTACCCGTAGTAAGTTGGATCCTCGGTCTCTTCGGTGTGTCTTCCTGGGTTACTCCGCCACTCAAAAGGGCTACAGGTGTTATCATCCCCTCTCTCACAAATGGTTTGTCTCTATGGATGTGTCTTTCTTTGAATCTTAGTCCTACTTTCTCTCTTCCCCAGTGTCCCCGTCATCTCCTCAGGAGGAGCCTTGGTGTGAAAAGACTCCTGTATCACTACCATCACCTATTACTGATACTAATGACCCAACTATTGAGAATGTTGACTCTCCATCTTAGAATGCTGACTTTCCATCTGCAGTGAAAGACGGCAAAGTGTATGTCAGAGACAAGGGTAGACAGAAAGTTACTTGGGTACAAGAGACCAATTCAGATTCTCCACTGCTATCTTCTTCTTCTTCTGATGAGTGTCCAGAATCCTCTCCTTCTGGTGAACCTCCAGGTAACTCAATTCTCTCTGATCTAGATGTTCACATTGCTAAAAGGAAGGGGGTCAGGTCGTGTACTCAACATCCTATTTCTCATTTTGTTTCCTACACTAATCTGTCTTCTCCTATAAAGGTTTTCTGTCTAAAGTTTTTTCGGTGAGTCTTCCTTCCAATTTTCAGGATGCTATTTCTACTCTTGAGTGGAAGCATGCCATGATGGAGGAGATGAGAGTGCTTGCTAAAAATGGCACTTGGGAATTGGCTGAGTTACCTAAGGGCAAACGATCTGTTGGATGTAAGTGGGTGTACACTGTAAAGCACAAAGCCGATGGTTCAATTGAACGTTACAAGGCTAGATTGGTGGCCAAGGGTTTTACTCTGACTTACGGAGTAAACTACCAAGAGACATTTGCACCGGTTGTTAAGATGAATTCAGTCAGAGTCCTTCTCTCCCTTGCCTCTAATCTTGACTGGCCTCTCCATCAATTTGATGTGAAAAATGCTTTCCTCCGTGGAGATCTGGCAGAAGAAGTGTACATGGACATTCCCCCAGGCTTTGAGGATGTTAAAACCACTGGAAAGGTGTGCCGGTTACGCAGGTCACTTTATGGCCTTAAGCAGTCTCCTAGGGCTTGGTTTGAGAGGTTTACTCTGGCCATGCTGAGATATGGTTTCAAACAGAGTCAAGCTAATCATACTTTGTTTGTGAAACACTCCTCACATGGTAAAACGACAGCCCTCATTGTCTATGTGGATGATATTGTACTCACAGGGGATGATGTTGAGAAGGTTCCTCGGTTAAAGGAGTATTTGGCTAATGAGTTTGAAATCAAAGACATAGGCAACTTGAAGTACTTTCTAGGCATTGAGGTTGCTCGGTCCAAAGATGGTGTCTTCATATGTCAACGAAAGTATGTGCTTGATTTGCTAACAGAAACGGGAATGCTTAGAAGTAAAGCATGTGATACACCACTAGAGCCTGGACTAAAGCTTAGTGAGGATCAAGGAGGTGAGCCTGTAGACAGGGGGAGATACCATAAACTAGTGGGTAAGCTTATTTACTTATCCCATTTGCGGCCTGATATTGTTATTGCCGTAAATATGGTTAGTCAGTTTATGCATGCTCCACGTTCAACTCACTTAGAGGCGGTTATGCAGATTCTGAAGTACTTGAAATCTTCTCCGGGAAAGGGTCTTTATTTCTTAAAGCATGGTCATCTCATTGTGGAGGCATATACAGATGTTGATTGGGCTGGCTCAGTAACTAATAGAAGATCCACCTCTGTCTATTGTACCTTCGTTGGAGGAAATCTAGTTACTTGAAGAAGCAAGAAACAAAATGTTGTTGCGCGGTCTAGTGCAGAGGCCGAATTCAGAGTTATGGCTTAAGGTGTGTGTGGGCTTTTATGGATTAGGTTATTATTGTGGGATTGGGGGATTCATCAGACAGATTCTATGAGACTATACTGTGACAATAAGGCTGCCATTAATATAGCCCACAATTCGGTTCAGCATGATAGGACCAAGCATGTGAAGATTGATCGGCATTTTATCAAGGAAAAGCTTACCAGTGGCACTATATGTACGCCTTTTGTGCGGTCTGGGGATCAATTGGCTGATGTTCTTACCAAGGGATTAAGGATTAAACCATTCCGTGACATTCTCGACAAGCTGGGCATGAGAGATATCTTCGCACCAGCTTGAGGGGGAGTGTTAGAATGTGTTAGGATATTTTCTATTCTATCTCTTTATTTGCTGTAATGGGCCTTTATTTAGGCCTTAATTTATGTTTTTCCTCTTCTAAAATTAATGTTGAGATCTAGTCAGTTCAGACTTCATGAGGAAGTTAGTGAAGTAAAATGCAGAGGGGAAATGTGGCAACAAAAGTATCTTAACAAGAGAAAGGGAATGACATTGCATTCAATGTCAATGTATTTCTTCTTTTGGCCTTCTTCTACATTTCTTATTGACCTCAGGTAAGTATTAGGTAGAAATTAGAATAAGGTATGGTGCTATCAAGTGTAGCTTAGAACTAGGAGTGTTTGGAAGCTGCAGGTTGGGTTCAGCATGATCGGACCAAGCATGTGGAGATTGATCGGCATTTTATCAAGGAAAAGCTTACTAGTGGCACTATATGTACGCCTTTTGTATGGTCTGAGGATCAATTGGCTGATGTTCTTACCAAGGGATTAGGGATTAAACCATTCCGTGACATTCTCGACAAGCTGGGCATGAGAGATATCTTCGCACCAGCTTGAGGGGGAGTGTTAGAATGTGTTAGGATATTTCCTATTCTATCTCTTTTTTTGCTGTAATGGGCCTTTATTTATGCCTTAATTTATGTTTTTCCTCTTCTAAAATTAACGTTCAGATCTAGTCAGTTCAGACTTCATGAGGAAGTTAGTGAAGTAAAATGCAGAGGGGAAATGTGGCAACAAAAGTATCTTAACAAGAGAAAGGGAATGACATTGCATTCAATGTCAATGTATTTCTTCTTTTGGCCTACTTCTACATTTCTTATTGACCTCAGGTAAGTATTAGGTAGAAATTAGAATAAGGCATGGTGCTATCAAGTGTAGCTTAGAACTAGGAGTGTTTGGAAGCTGCAGGTTGGTGAAATACTACGAAGCACGAACAATACATAAGAAAAAGAAAAGATATGGGTATGACTAGGATACATTACTAAAAAAAATTTCTATAATTTTTAGTATTGCATCATACATGAAAATAAAACCAAAAGGGAGAGTACATTCATATAGTTAATATATGAGGCAACAACATAGTGTTAATTGGTAAGTTCTGATGTAGTTTTTTCCCTCAAGGGCAAGGGGCGGCTTAGCTTGGGTCACATTGTAGAAAAGAATTTCACATTGTTTGGTAAATGGTTATCGGGATTCCTGTGGGAATGCAACTCTTTATGGCGTGTGGTTATCAGAATCAATAATGAGTTACAGGATAATGGTTGGGAATCTTGTGTAGTTGATTGGGAGAATTATTGCTCTCCATGGGAGTTTATTTCTCAGGGCCTCTTGTGTTTTTCCCAGTGCACTCGTCTCGTTGTGGGTAATGGGGAGAACATTCGCTTTGGGAGGATGCTTGGAGGGGGAATGGTTCCACTAGCTCGTTTGTTTCCACATCTGTATATTTTATTTAAAGCTCACAATTTCTCGATCATCTCTATGATCTCCTTTTTTTCTAATATGATTTCTTAGAATTTTTAGGTTTTTTAGAAATATAAATGATCACGAGGCCAATTAATTTGCTTCGTTGGTATCTCTCATTATCCAATGCATTATTGATTAAAGGGTACAGACTCAGTGACATTTTTCTTGCAAGTAATTTCTTGATAAAATTATTGATGATTTTGTCCCTCACAAGTTGATGTGAAGTGCGTGGGTCTCCTTCCCCTTAAGGTTAAAGTGTTTGTATGGACCATGGCTCTCTAGAAACTTAGTACCAATGACATGGTTTAGAAAAGAAGGCTGAATTACTTGTTACATCCATGGTGTGTCAGGTGTAAATGGCGCCGAGGAGAGTATTGATCATTTGTTCATGCATTGTCCCATGGTTATATAATTATGGTGGAGGGTGATTTGTTTGGCGAAGTTGGATTGGGTTGCACCTTCTTCTTGTGTTCATATGTATTGATTGGAGAGGCTTTGGTTCAAGTGATAAAGTGTGGGCTCTTAGGAAATGTGTAGCCGTGTGCCCTTCTACTTTTTTTGTATTATTTTCTAATTTTCCTCTGGTTATTAATAAATTTCTCTTGGTTGTCAATCCAAAAAAATGTTGGCTAATTATGTAATTTAAGCTATGTAAGTTTGAAGAATACTGTTATTCAGATAACAAAAACTTCCAATGGCTTAATGTTATTTTTTTGAGATTTATTTAATGCTTATTATTTATTGTCTTTTCATGTTTATTCACTTCATAATATATGCAACCCTCTTGATGGTTATCTTCGTAATTATTTGGCATGCAGAGTATCTCCCCTAAGCTTTGAACTCGAGGCTACTTTGAAATTGGCAAGATTTCTCTGCAGGTAGGCTTGTTTAACCTATCTTCTATGGTGATGACTGCAACATACTATCGTACTTGAATGAATTTAGCCTGTAGAACTGGGATGATATCCCGGAATCTCTTGATGGAAATGTGCAATGAATATATAAGTATAAATTAATGAGGCTATATTATTTATACAATGCTGCTTGCATCATTTTATTCTACATTTTGTCAAGGTATGAATTGTAAAGATGTTAATTTTTTGGCAAAAAGATAGAAAAGAGACATTAGATTTTAATGCTTCTACCTGCCATCGTATTTTAATGCTTGTAAATTTAGTTAATATTTTAAGATCTACGTAAATTAAGTGAATTTTGGACCCAAACTCTGGATTGGATTTTTGTCAAACTTTGGATCACATTTCGGTAAACAAGGTCATTTCAACATTTTAATAATTTTAGCTGGATGTTGGACTAATTATTTTAAACTTCAGCTAAAATTCGGTGAAGCTCAAATGATCACATTGACATTTAAAAAAAATTGAGAGTTAAAGATGACCAGCAATATGGAAAGCTTGGATTTAAATTAGTAAATTTCAGGTACCATATAACAGACTACACTTGCCAGATCACATTCTGTAAAATTTTCATTTCATCTCTGCAGTAGGTTATCGACTTTTCATTAATTCCTATTGCCATTATTCTATAATTGTTAGACATCACTAAACCAGTCAATTACGCAGTCTTCACTTCAATTATGGGTCAGGATCCCCATAGATGTGTCTTTGTTCCTTGGGTTAGGGAACAATGTAGAAGGTTGAAATGCAGTTATAAGCTAAGGATTTCTGTATTACTGTGATTTCTAAAATTGGTTTTTCACTTAAAATATTTTGTTTATCGATAGACGTGAGCTGGCCAAGGATGTAGTGGAGTTGTTGACAGCTGCTGCTGATGGAGCGAAATCTTTGATTGATGCCAGTGACCAACTAATATTGTATGTTGAAGTAGCTCGTCTTTTTGGAACTCTAGGCTATCACCGGAAAGCTGCCTTTTTTTCAAGGCAGGTAGCTCAGCTGTATTTGCAACAAGAAAATAGACTGGCCGCTATCAGTGCCTTGCAAGTGTTGGCAATGACCACAAAAGCATATCGTGTTCAAAGTAGAGCATCTATTGCTAGGAGTTCTCTTCCCAATGTGAGTTTTAAAAATATGGTTTGGCATATATGATTATCTGACTACTGCCATTAATTTTTGCATTTGGGATGAACTTTTCACATTTGGGAACTTGCCTTTGAAAAGCTAGGAAAAATAAACATTTATTGTCCTTCTATTTACAAACAAAATGCTGCATCAGCTTCTACTTACTTGAATAAGGTACCATACTAATGTGCATATGCTAAATTCTATTCATGTATGGTTATCCCATACCACTTTCTCTAGAACAAGGTCCTGATGGATTTTAGGTAGGAGATTATAGTATGCTTATACATTTGATTTCTTGAATGACAACAAAAAAGTATTATTGCAAATGTAAGAATAAGAATTTTTAACATTTCATAGTGCACATGGTAAAAAAAAATAAAAAATTAACAATTGAAAACTGTAATGTTTCCTTTCCATCCCCACCAAAAAATTAAAATCCTTTTTCTCATAGTACACAGCATGACCTCTTGTGAAGTTGTTAGTTTCCATTCACAGATTGAATTAAGTTCAATATTGGTCAGAACTCCAAATTTGACAGAGAAGCTGTTAAAATACAATGTATAAAATTGATTGTATTATTGATTCATATATATTGTTGTATTGATACATTTTCTGTCTATTACAAATGGTTCCTTATATAGATATAGGTGTAGTGGATGGTGTGTAGTGGAGTAGGTGAGGTGGTAGTGGTGTAGTGGGTTAGGTTTAGTGGAGTAGGTGAGGTGGTAGTGGTGGTAGGTGATGGTAGGTGAGGTGGTAGTGGTGGTAGGTGATGGTAAATTCTAACAGAAGCTTTGCAGTGGATGGTCTGGTTAGAACTGACATGGTGTGATAGATCAGCAGGTTCTATACTGTTTTCAGTTAATTATTCCACATTCTGAATCTGTGTCTGTTCTTTCTTTATTTAAGGAAATTATATCCACTCATGTTGATGGTGGGAAAACGCATCATCACTCCATCGTCTCACATTTTGAGTCCCAATGGAGCACCCTGCAGATGGTTGTTCTAAGAGAGATACTGGTGTCTGCTGTCCGTTCTGGAGATCCTCTTGCTGCATGGAGTGCAGCAGCACGCCTGCTTCGATCTTATTATCCTCTAATTACTCCTCCTGGGCAAAATAATCTTGCGAGTGAACTTGCAAATTCTGCTGATAGACTCCCTTCAGGAACTCGCTGCGCTGATCCTGCCTTACCTTTTATAAGGTATTTGTACTGTATGTTTAATACTTCTCTTGTATTGAGCAAGAATCAAGTTTTCTTCTGTGCTTATTACGGTCCTGTCATTACATATTCCTTGGCAAGATAAAGTTATAAGATGCTAAATGTCTTCAATTGGCTAAACATATAATCAAGGACATTGAACAAACTGGGGCAGCCTAGTTGGATGGAACCCTTGGTGATTGTGTCAAAAAAAAACAAACAAGGACATTGATCACACGTACTTTTACCTATTTGTGCTGTCAACTTTTTAAATGCTTCCAGGTTGCATTCCTTTCCACTCTATCCCTCACAAATGGACATCATAAAACGCAATCCAGCTAGAGAAGATTGGTGGGCAGGATCTGCTCCTTCAGGGCCTTTTATTTATACACCATTCAGCAAAGGAGAGCCAAATCATAGCAGTAAGCATGAGCTGATTTGGGTTGTTGGAGAACCAGTCCAGGTGTTAGTGGAATTGGCAAATCCTTGTGGGTTTGACTTAATGGTTGATAGCATCTATCTGTCAGTGCATTCCGGAAACTTCGATTCTTTTCCAATTAGTGTAAATCTCCCAACTAATTCTTCAAAAGTGATCACGTTGTCTGGAATTCCAACTAAAATGGGGCCAGTGACAATTCCTGGATGCATAGTTCATTGTTTTGGTGTAATTACTGAACACCTTTTTAAGGATGTTGATAACTTGCTCCTTGGAGCAGCACAAGGTCTTGTTCTTTCTGACCCTTTCCGCTGTTGTGGGTCTGCAAAGTTGAAAAATGTATCAGTTCCAAATATTTCTGTGGTACCCTCACTGCCATTGCTAGTGTCACACGTTGTAGGTGGTGATGGAGCTGTCATTTTATATGAAGGTGAGATTCGTGATGTGTGGATTAGTCTGGCTAATGCTGGTACTGTTCCAGTTGAACAGGCACATATATCACTATCAGGAAAAAACCAAGAGTCTGTTTTATCAGTCCCCTATGAAACTTTAAAAAGTGCCCTTCCTCTGAAACCTGGTGCGGAAGTGACAATACCAGTAACCTTAAAAGCGTGGCAGCTTGGTTTGGTTGACACTGATAGTGCTAGCAAAAATTTATCTGGAAGCACAGGGAGGCCAGCTAAGGATGGAAGCAGCCCAATGTTGTTGATCCACTATGCAGGTAATTTTCCAACCACAGCTGTAATAGGAAAATAACTTTTGTTTATTATATTTTGTTTATATAATTTCTTTGCTCTTGTAATCTTGGTGTTTCTAAGTTTTTTCAGTTCCTAGTTTTAAGCAACAATTACATCAAATATGTTAAAAATACTGTATTATTGATTGATGAGTTGATATATTACAAGATTGATTAATTACAATTCCTATACAATCTATATATAGAAGAAAATGTGGTAGTAGGTGTAGTGGAGGTGATAGTGGGTTAGGTGAAGTGGAGTGTGTGGTGAAGTGGAGGTAGGTGAAGTGGAGTGTGTAGTGGAGTAGGTGAAGGTAAAGATGGGAAATTCTAACAAAATATATGGCTCTCTTCTGGGAGCAGCAACATTGTGATCTATGGTCTGGGTCTGGGTTTGAATTATGATGAGAATTTGCAAATCAGACTGAAGCCGCAGTCCAACATGCCCTATTGACCTTGCCCACATATTCAATGACGGATCCTGTTTTCTTAACCTTCTCCCAGAGTAAAGGGAGGGTGCTTTAATCAAACTTCCCCATCCCTTTGTGGTACTTGGTCCAAATTTCTGGTTGAAGACACTATTTGGGCAAAAATGTTTGAATGCTTAATTGAAGTTCCTCTTTGTGTGTTTCTCTTGCATCTGTTATCATAGTATTTGCTTAATTTGAAGTTGCCCCTTTTCTCTTGTGATTGACTAATTCTGTGATATCCCACAAATCTATATTAGTGATTGTTTACGGCTTTTGATACACTTTTCTACATAGACATTGAGCTTGTTAAAAAGGCGTGTTCGTATTGTTTACCCTTTTCAATCTTCCTGTCAGGGCCATTGGCGAATTCAGGAGAACCACCCACAGATGGGTCTGTTGTTCCCCCTGGTAGACGCCTGGTTGTTCCTTTGAACATTTGTGTTTTGCAGGGCTTGTCCTTTGTGAAGGCCCGTTTGCTGTCGATGGAAATTCCTGCACACATCGGTGAAAATCCTCCTAAGTTGGTTAATGTGGAGAATGGTTCTTCTGAAGTTACGGTTTTTGATTCTTCTGAAAGTAAGACTGATAGATTAGTGAAGATTGATCCTTACAGGGGAAGTTGGGGGCTACGTTTTCTTGAACTCGAGTTGTCTAATCCAACTGATGTTGTGTTTGAGATTAATGTTTCTGTCAAGCTAGAGAAATCTAGAAATGAGGATAATTCTAGTGTTGACTGTGATGCAGCTGAGTTTGGTTACCCTAAAACAAGAATCGATAGGGATAACACTGCAAGGGTACTAATACCTCTAGAGCATTTTAAATTACCTGTTCTGGACAGTTCGTTCTTTGTGAAACATACCCAGAGTGGGACCCCCGGTAGAAGTTCAAGTTTCTCGGAAAAGAATGCTAAGGCTGAACTGAATGCTTCGATCAAGAACTTGATTTCCAAAATTAAGGTGAGGTGGCAATCTGGACGGAACAGCTCTGGAGAATTAAACATTAAGGACGCCATACAGGCTGCCCTTCAGACGTCCGTCATGGATGTCCTGCTACCGGATCCATTGACGTTTGGCTTTAAGCTTGCTGAAAATAGTACAGGACGTGCCAAACTCAGTTCATCCAAAGAATCTATTAATCAAGTTCAATCCCCTTCGTCTAAAGGTTCTGTACTTGCGCATGACATGACTTCCATGGAAGTTCTGGTCCGAAATAACACTAAGGAAATGATAAGGATGAGTCTTAGCATTACGTGCCGAGATGTAGCCGGGGAGAACTGCATTGAGGGCAAGAAGGCAACTGTTCTTTGGTCAGGTACGGTTCTAGCATGTTTTGTCTTTGTTCAACTATCTTTCAGTAGATAGCAACCTTTTAACTCAATTAGTTAGAAAATACTCTTTTTTAATTTTTAGGAAAATAAGGAAGTATCAGAAAATAATTGTTTCTAACTTTCAAACCAAGGAAATAATCTCTGATTTTTAGGAGGAAAATAAGGATTATATTAGACAATATCATTTCTAACTTTCAAAAACTTTTTGAGTTTTTATAACTTTTTCTTCAAGGGTTATGAATGGACTCCCTAATCGATTAGCCTATTGTTGGAAAATGGGACCAAATAGGATGGAATCGATTACATGGAAATTTTATATGCCAGCATTCAAAATTATTATGGATGAGCATGTTTATTTATGCGGGTTTTTTTTTTTGGTCTGATCTATTGTTAGGTGTTTTGAGCGGTGTAACTGTGGAGGTTCCTCCCCTAGAGGAAATCAAACATTCGTTCTCTTTGTATTTCCTGGTTCCTGGCGAGTACACTCTGTTAGCTGCTGCTGTGATTGATGATGCCAATGACATTCTGAGGGCTCGTGCCCGATCTAGTTCACCTGATGAGCCAATCTTCTGTCGGGGGCCCCCATTTCATGTCCGAGTAAATGGAACTGCATAAACTGTATCATTTCTTGCACCTATTAAACACGTGTCGGCTCATATTTTTCCTGAGGAAACTTCTGATACTGTCATTTGTGCCTTTTCATAATTTAGCTCGTCAAGATTTTAGTTGGGTGGTGTATATTAGGATGTTCTAGAGTGCCTGTAAATCCATAGTGGACATTAATTATTGTGATTTCCTTTCAATGAGTGTTGTGAATTTGAGGCTCATAAGAAATTAGATTGGTCACTGTTCCACAAGTTGAATATTACCATCATATAAATGATTGGCGTCTGTTGTACGTACAAACAGAGAAATTGTCATGCTTTCATGGTGTGGTTCGGGTCATGAATCAGTTGCTACCGGTATGGAGGTTGAATTTGTAACTCAAGCAGACCAACCAACCAGAGCTTACGGTTGACTCCAAACCAGCTGAGGTTAGAGCCTGTCGACTGTTTTTGTCTGGACAATGGCTCTGCATCTTTTGTCCCCTTTTTTGTCTCATCGTTTGTTCCATACTCTTATTATTATTATTATTTTGGCACCGGGGCAACAACAGAGCATAGAACAGGGGATCCCAAGCTGTCCACAAGAAGTTATATTCGACAAATATATATATATATATATATATACAGTTGTAAATCTGTTAGAGAAGAAATCTAGGATTGTAATGCATAAGGCATACAACAATTTCATTCTTAATATTGCCCTTTTTGTCTGGACAAATGACATACTCAATTTGGCTTGAGTTGGTCTAATTAAAAAAAAAGATTTTTGGCTTTTTTCTTTTGGGTGAGGAATGACAATTAGAATTCATATTGAATAAGAAATATCAAATAAATAAAAATAATTATAAATTAATAAAGCACAAATAAAAAACTGTGGGTTATTAGAGAAAATAAAAATTGTACCGAGTGTACCTAATTGTAAAATTTACACTCATTTTGCAATTAATTTCTCTATTTTCTATTTATTCCCCTTATATTTGATCCAAATTAAGGCTATGTTAAGAAACAGTTAAATTAGCCAAAAGTTCCTTTCATACAAAAGTCAGTCAATTCTCCCTACAATTTTTTTTTTTTTTGGTATTAAAAATTTAAAAATTACTAAAAAAATTCCAAACAAACCCTCAGTTCCAACCAACCGTCATATGGAAGTTCGGTACTTCTCTTTTCCCGGTTCTCTCTCTCTAAGTTCTCCCTCTCTCCTCTTCAACATCAAACTGAGATGATTTCTTCACTTGCAACAAAACTTCGATTCCAATAAGGTCTAACGATCAAGATCGGGGTCAGATTCACCCATATAGCATATGGGCTAAAAGATCGATGAGAATCCAAAATCTCAAATCTCTCTTAACTCTCATCGAAACTTGCCGAAATCTTCCACTTCTGAAGCAAATTCATGCAAGATCTATCATTCTTGGCCTAACCTATAACCAATTCATCCTAACCAAACTTGTCAGTTCGTTTTTATCAATCCCATGCCTTAATTACGCGACAAGACTGTTTGATAGAACTCACGAGCTCGGTGTTTTTATCTGGAATGCGATGATCAAGGGCTATTCTTTGTCTCAGAGTCCGATTATGGCGATTCTGATGTATAACAAAATGCGGGTTAGCGAAAACGTTGTGGCGGATAATTATACGTACCCTTTTGTTTTCAGAGCTTGTGCTAATGTTTTTGCTGTAGAGAAAGGGAGAGAGGTTCATGGGATTGTTGTGAGAATTGGGTTCGATTCGGATCGGTTTGTGCAGAGTTCTTTGCTTAATCTTTATACTGTGTGTGGTGAAATTAGGAGTGCACGGAAGGTGTTTGATGAATTTGAGGGGAAAGATGTTGTGTTTTGGAATGCTATGATATTGGGTTATTCAAGAGAAGGGTTGGTTTTTGAAGCTTTGGAGGTTTTCGAGGAGATGATTGAAATGGGAGAGGTTAAACCCAATGAAGGGACGATTTTGAGTTTGATTTCGGTTTCTATGGTGTTGAAAGATTTAAAAATGGGGAGGGAAATTCAAGGGTACATTAAGAAAGAGATTGATTTGAGTAAAGGAGTAAAATTGGGTGCTGCATTGATTGATTTGTATTCAAAATGTGGGCGTTTGGATGATGCAAGAAAATTATTTGATGAAATGCCTGAAAAGAATGCTGTTGTGTGGAACTCTTTAATTTGTGGGTACTCTAAAGCAGGATCTTTGCGCGAAGCAATTGATCTTTTCAGGGAAATGTATAATTCAAATGTAAAACCTGATAGGTTTACAATCTCTGCCTTGTTAGGTGCATGTGCACAAACTGGTGCTTTCAATTTAGGAAACTGGGTCCGGAAATTTGCTGAAAACAGTGGAATTTGGGATACCCATATTGGGACCTCTTTGATAGACATGTATGCAAAATGTGGTTTTATTTTGATGGCAAGAGAAGTATTTGACCAGGTACCTAAGAGGGAGAGGACTGTGGCTACATGGAATGCCATCATCTCAGGATATGCTTCACACGGGCATGCTGAACCTGTGATAGAGCTCTTCAATGAGATGAAAAGATTGGAGACCAGACCAGATTCTATCACCTTCCTTGCTGTTTTACATGCTTGTGCTCATGTAGGTTTGGTTGAGAAAGGTAAACAATACTTTGATTCGATGAAGTATTATAATATCACCCCGAACGTTGAGCACTATGGCTGCATGGTTGATCTTCTAGGCCGAGCGGGGCTTGTAAATGAAGCCAAGGAGCTTATAATGAGAATGGAGATTGAACCAAATGCTATTGTATGGGGAGCATTGCTCAGTGCTTGCAGTATTCATGGTAATGTCGAGATTGGTGAGTGGGTAGCTCACCATATCTTTAAGTTGGATGCAATGGATGGTGGGTCTTACGTGCTCTTGGGGAATTTGTATGCAGCGGCTAGAAGATTTAATGGAGTTAAGGCAGTTAGAGAGATGATGGTGAAAAGGGGGATATGTAAACCTCCTGGATGTAGCATGATTGAGATTGATGATGTTGTTCATGAGTTTCTTGTTGCAGACAAGTTACACTGCAGGTCACTAGAGATTTATGCAGTTTTGGATGAATTGAGCATGAAGCTCAAGATGGCAGGCTATGTGCCCATGGTTGTTCTAGATGAAGAGGGTTTCATATGAAAATTTCCAGAAGAAAGGGAAAATCAGGGGAGCAGTTTATTGCCGTGATCCTGCACCTGTAAAAGATTTTTAGTTTCTGAAGATCTTCCTTGGCAGTCCATGGAATTCAATATCTATAGCATGCTTTCAACTCTTTCAGTTTGATGCAGATATGGACATTTCTTTGAAGGAATTTTATTGTGTTTTCGGAGTTATTTGTATTAGTCAAGACTTGAATAACTAAATGCTAAAAGCTTGAGCTGACAAGTGTGAGAATGCACATTTGAGGCCATGGGAAGCCATTTTTTAGTGTTGTACCCAGTCTACCCCTCCGGCACCCCAGATTGACAGAACCACCATCTGGTAATGTCCCGTCTTTTAAGATACTTTGTTACCCTCTGACATATCTTTTTAAGGGCTGATAAGCTGAATGGCTTTTTTGCGGGGAACTGAAGCATGCACTTTGTCAGTGGTTGTAAGATCAATGTAGAAATGAACATTACAAAGGCAAAAAGGTATAATGCTCCTTGGGAAGTCCTTATTTGGAGGTGAGACCCTTGAAGAATTACCTTCTATAGTCAATAGCTTTTACTCATGTTGTTTTATGTTTGTATAGTAGAGTTCTGCTGATTATTTATTGATTGTGATCGTTCTTAATTTGAGGAAAAGGTACAGTTTCGGTTCAAACAGAAATGATCAGCCTAGGATTTTATTTAGTCAAGGGATAGGCTTATCATAGCAAATGGATGTCTTACGTGGTTAGTCATCCCCACCCTCCGTTCCCCTAAAAAATATATATATATTTTTCTTGCTATGAAGTTTTCATTAATTTATAGATAGCTTGGGATTAGTTGGTCTTAGGATACTTTCCTTGACCAGAAAATGTCAGGATCATTATCAGACTGGATATTTTAAGAGCCAAATCATTTGCAGGGTATATACCCTGCTTGAAGCAGTTGCTAGGATTTAAAAAAGACAACCCTTGAATTTGTCACTTTCATTTCTGGTCCTTGTGGCATTTTAATAATTGTTCAAGTTGAAGATAGATATTCTTGTTGTCAAGTTTTATTCACTTTTAACTTTGGTGATGCCATGGTTTTCTTGAAGATAGTTTAGTTCTTTCTTTTCTTTTTTTTTATTATTATTTTTATTATTTTTTATTTTATGGTGAGGGATGGGATTAACATTTTAGGTATGGAATTTTCCAAGTCCCTGCAACGTTACTTTCTCCCACTGAAGTAGAGCATCGTGTGGGGTTGGCCCCTTGTTGGGGCAGTTCAAGTAAAATTGTTTGTAGCAGTTTTGCAGTTCAAGGGGGAATGTCTGATGAGTGTCAGTGTGTGACACATGAATTGGGCTCACAACTTTTTTAGAAATGTCCGTACTTCTTAATGTATATGTATAATTTTGTCTAAATCAACTTAAGAGTCCGTTTCAATTTTGCAGGTCATAAGCAAAATGTTGTGAGTGCACAAAGGAAGGATGAAAGCTCTCTAGTCTGTTAGGAGGAAGAATACTCAATGATTTAACTTCTTACCCACAAGAAGCAAAGGGAAAAGATACAACAAAAGCAAAGTAAATTTCCTCGCCTGCTGACTGAAAATCACTTTTTATTATGGGTTATTGACTTATTATGAAAATTAGTATTATGTTGCATTTTTTATCTTTAAATCATAAATATATAAAACTATATATTTTGTTTATATTGCCCGTATGTCGTGTCTTGTATTTTTTAAAAATTGTCATGGTAGGGTGTCTGTGTCACATCGTAGCGCATGAATGTTAATTTTGTAATTCAATTAGTGCTGATAGTATAAATAAATATCATTATGAGAGAGAACTCTAAGGCTCTCATCTTTCCCCATTTTCTATTCTTTTACACTCCCTCTTCTCCATCTTTTCTGCCAGTCACTCTCAGAATCAACCAACAAAACAACTTATTGTGGGTATGAAATAACTCTTATTAGCATAGTAATGTGGTTAAGCATGGATGCTCATTTATGATTCTTTGAGTAGAGGACATGGATTGATTTGATTGGTTTGGTGAGATTGGGTCTTAGTCAATGTTGTTGATAAGGTTCTTTATGAGTGGTGAAATGTTCCAATGCTGTAAATATCACTGGAAATGTTCCAATTCTTTAGGTGATTTGGTTTATCTTTCATTTCTATATTGAAAAATGCTATGTATTCATAATTTTTATTTTGAAAATTATTTCGAGAGTGAGTTGGTGTGACGTGGGCCACACCCACAATGAATGTGATCCATTAATGTAGTTTTTTAAATAATTTTTTGGATATGTAGCATTATTGTTCTATATTTGGTTTACCTTTCATGTCATTATTATGTTCCTTGGCAAACTTAAGTCGATTTATTTTTTCTGATTTCTTTTTATTTTTAGTAAATTTTTTCTAATTTGATTAAAAAAATTTTACTTTCTTGCTTGTTTAAACTAGATGATCTTAAAAATTATATATATATATATATATAGAAAAAAAAACTCTACTAAAGATGAAAATAAGTTAAATTAATAACTTTAAAAAAAACCCATAAAAACTTGGTTTTGTTTTGTTTCTAATGGACTTTTTTCAAAATTTTATCAATTGCTTAAAAATTTTAGAATCCTCTAGTCTAGATGTACATAAAATGTAAAAAATAAAATAAAAATAGAGTCAAATAAAAAATCACTAAAGACAAAATAAGCCAACTTATAAGGACGAAGTTGATGATACATATTATGGGATGAGACTGCTATACAAAAAAAGGTGCATACCATATGCACAATCACTTTCAAAAGTTAGATATTTAAAATAAATAAATAAATAAATTTAATCCATTAATTTGACTCGGCCAACATCACATTGGGAGCAATAATCAAACACACTAGCTTCATAACAATTCACTATTAATCATAATATAAAATTAATAGGTTCATAACCTATTTTGATTTGACAATATAGGTGACTCTAAAATTATTTCAAACCACAATATGACATAACAATATACAAATAAAAAGTCATAATAAAAAATCACTAAAGATATAATCAGAAGTATAATACACACCCTAAAAGTTTGTGTCTACCATATAATTCTCCAATAATTGTCGGTAGGTTTAGGTCATATATCTATAGTTTAATCTTGTAAGTATCCTATATATAGGGAAGTTTGCCCAATGGCTGTGAGATTATTGACATTTAGGTTTAGTCAACCTTATGAACATCTACAACTGACAAAGTCCTTTGATGACTATTGAATTCATTAGCTTTGTTTAGGGGTTTCCTTTTTTTTTCACTTTTGACCTTTTTTTTCCCCTTTAACAATTCACTATGAATCATAATAAAAAATTAATAGGTTCATAACTTATTTTGATTTGACAATATAAGTGGCTTTAGAATTATTTCTAACCATAATATGACATAACAATATACAAATAAGAAATCACTAAAGATATAATCAGGAGTATAATACACACCCTGAAAAGTTGGTGTCTACCATATAATTCTCCAATAATTTTCAGTAGGTTTAGGTGATATATCTATAGTTTAATCTTGTAAGTATCCTATATATAGGGAAGTTTGCCCAATGGCTGTGAGATTATTGGCATTTAGGTTTAGTCAACCTTATGAACATCTACAATGACAAAGTCCTTTGATGACTATTGAATTCATTACCTTTGTTTAGGGTTTTCCTTTTTTTTTTCACTTTTGACCTTTTTTTTTCTCCCTTTAATTTGTTGTTTTAGGTAGTTTTGGTGAAGATGCTAACAATATCATTATTTAAAAAATAAAAAAACAAAAAATTGCATATGGTGAAGATGCTAACAATATCATTATTTAAAAAATAAAAAAACAAAAAATTGCATACTACTAGTAAATTTTACCCTAAATAGTGGAATTGTTGGATCTTTTATCAGCCATTTTATCCCCACTTCTATTCATAGAATAGTAGCGTCTGATTCATTTGTTGTTTGTTGTTTTTTGTTTTTATTTTCCGAAAAATAGAGAAAATTCATTTGTTGTTTGTTGTTTTTTGTTTTTATTTTCCGAAAAATAGAGAAAACTTTTTTAGCTAATTATTTTCAAAAGTTGTTTTTAATATTTTTTTAAAAAAATAACCTAGGAAATACTGGAAAGTAGTTTTTTGAATTTTCAAAAATTATTTCCCCACAAAAATAAAAACGATAATTGTTTTCGAACTTTTCATTTGTTTTTTTACTATGAAAAATGGAAAGCGGAAATGATGAAAATGAAAACACAACCAAATATGTCTTATTGTTCAATGGAGTATTTTCACGGTTATGTTGATTGTTGGTTTCAGGTTGTTTCCATGGTTAGAACTTACCAAAATGGGAGGAACACTCAATATTCATTTAGCTTTTGAGGTTTTAGTTAATAGGCTTAGTTGGTTAGTCTGGTAATGATCTGACTTGACTTCCATTTGGGTTGGAAGGTGGTGGGAAGACTATGGACCATTGTATTATAGCCCATAATTGGTAAAAGAATGCATCAAATGCCATTTTCAAGTTGATAAGTTTACGAACATAGCACCAACTACATAAATTATAGATAGAACAATATGAGTGAAACTGTTTCTTTTCCAATCATCTGATATGTATGGTCAAAGATTATATTATGTGGTTAATTATATGATTGATTTTATATCTGTGAACTTCTTGTTTTCGAGGTACACGAAGTATAGTAATTTATAAAGTTATGAAATAATTATATATTAGTTGAAGCTATTATAAATTTTTTATTTTGTGTGGTAATTGATACTAGGAATAGATAGTTATACGTCAATAAGATTCAAACTCATTCATTATACTTAGAAAGAGAGCACCTCATTTACTAGATTAACCCTTATTATTGTGGCCAAATTTTCTAATTTTTTTAAATTAGAAAAAAGAGCAACCCAAAGGCCTTTTGGCTTAATTTGAGCAACCTTACCAGCTCCAAGCCCCTTATTAATGTAAGAGCCATAAATTAAAGAGTTGGCAGTTGTTATTGTTTTATATATTCCATAAAAAGGAATACTATTCGAAGTGTATTACACATTGGTTCAAAGTTCAAATGGAGCACAATATAAGCTAATGCTTATAAATTTACCCCAACTTGATATTCATTTGACTACCAAATCACCAGTGCTTATAAATTAGGATAAATAACACTTTTTCTTTATTGAGTTTTAAAGTTTCTCACTTTGGTTATTAATGTTTTATGTTTTTCACTTTAGACCCTAACATTTCTAAATTTTTCCACTTTACTCCAACAACTAATGTTTGTCTAATTTTGAATAGAATATGTCATGCTGGTTGCCATATGGCGTAATAACACATTATTATAGAAATTTAGATAAATTACACTTTATACCCTTAAGTTTAAGTACCTTTAAAAAAATTTCCCACTTTAGTCCCGAACGTTTATAATTTTTCTTAATTTACTCCCACAGCCAATGTCTGTCCAAAATCTGTATCTAAACTGTTATACCTAAATGTAAATTATTAACTCATTTCAAATTCATAAATCCGAACACTCCTCACTTAACATTCTCCTTCTCTATTCCAAAAAAAATGTGAGAGGGTCAACAACTATCATTTGATAATTTCCAAAACAGTGTCCTCCTCAATGCTATTATTCCCTCTCAGAATCTCACTGTCAAATTGTGTCTCAGTTTTTCACTCTTAGGTCGTCCTCATTCCAAAACCTTGCTTTTTGGCTCTTCTCTCTCTCTCTCTCTCCATATATATAGATATACACTAGCAGTTGGTACACATGCAATGCGTTACATGTGATTGAGAAGGTGACAAGATGAATAATTGAAATTTTGAGGATCATAGTAGTTTTTTTACAGTGACAATTTTCATATTGTCATCATGGGCATTTTGATGATAGAAAATCTGTGACATCTACACCATTTCAGCTTCACTTTATATATATATATAGTATAGATATTATCAGTGTGGTGTTGTAGTAGGTGTGCATGCACCATCAACATCATGCAACAGGAAATGTGTCTTTGTTTGTCTCAGTGAATCCTCAGTTTTGGTTGCTTAAGTAAGCAAATGGGTGTGACATTTCATGAGGCAAATATAGGGGAGGCAATGAAACACACAACATCATCTTCATCATCATCATGAAAAACACATGTGCATCTCTCTCTCTTTTCTCTTCACTCTTCTTTCTCTCTCCTTTTTTTCTCATTTGGATTTTGCCTTTTCTTAATTTTTTTTTTTATATCTCTCACATATCATGTCAGCTACATTAGTTGGTGGGGTGGTTGTTGCCTTTTTTACTCTCTCAATTCTTCCAATTTCAGACCTTTTGTAGGAGCCTGCATTTTTCCACTCTTCAATAGTGTTATGGATACACGGCTTTCCTTTGTATGTAAAGCCTTGTTTGGTGAAGATTTTACGAAGGTGTGCATAATGTTTTTTTTGGATAAATTAAATCATTTAGTTACCGTAATTTTAATTTCATGAATTTTGACTTTAAATTTTTATTTTTGTTTGTATTTCAGACGAAAAAAATGACATGTGTGAAGCTAGGTAGATGGATTAAAGTGGAATTCAGGTGAAACTACATAGACTATTAGTGCAATTTATTCATTTATATTTTTTTGTAGGAATTGCTAAAATACCAATGTGAGTTACATATGACTTTTTTTTTTTTTTTTTTTTTTGTGTCTAAAATGATAATGACAATTAACAAAGAGACTACATTGAAATATAATTAGAAGTGTGAGTTTTAAATTGATGAAATTAAAACTATAGAGGAAACTAAAGTGAAGTCTTGATGAAACTAGAGGGAATTTACTCTATTTATTTTTTCTTTTGTGAAGAGGGAACAACTTTAATTTATGCCTTTTAACTCTTAACTTGTTAGAAGTGCAAAACTTTGGGAAATTGACAATCATAATTTCTAAGGGCATGTTTGTTTTGCAAATTTGCAATTAAGAGGGTAACTCCTGCATGTTCTGGCATTGTTCTGTATCTATTAAATGGATTAATTACCCTCGTGTGCATGTTTTATTTTCACCGTATACTCATCCCTGTATAACCTATCCATTCACCATAATGATTAAAACTGGCAAACAAACAAGCCCTAGTTTCATGAAATGGGTAATTATTCAGCCCAATTTATCTTTTTGCACAATTTGATTGAGAGTACCACATACACATATTACATGACTACTGAATATTTATTTTATTCTGTTTTTTTTTTTTTTTTTGAAAGCATTCAAAACTAGGACTGAGCATTGATCATCAAGGGCATCTAAGGTTCTGTTTGGGTGACCCCATTTTTATGTTCTTTAACTTTATCCAAAGGTAAACTGGGCTGTCACACACAGGCACTGTGAGAGAGAGATAGATAAGTGATTTTGTGGTCCATGAAAGAGAGAGAGCTTTTTTATTAGGTGCTTTTGTGGTCCAGCCCTTTAGAAAGGCCTAAAATTTAGGGAAAGGGGAGGACAAATGAACATGTGTGGTCTATAAATGCCATTCATGGGATGGGACAAAACCCATCCAACTAACTCTTTACCCAAAAACCTTATCCCATCAAAGCTAAGGTTCCAAAAACACCTCAAAAAAATAAAAATAAAAAAATAAAAATAAAATCACAAAATCAAAATTATATATATGATTCTCTCTTGCTCTCTAAATTTTTTTGTCATTTTGATTATGTTAACCTCCAAATATTAGGAACATTTATTTGGTGCTAGTAATTGTTACGAAATGAAATGATTTCTCTTTAATCAGAATAATTATATTCGCAATAAGTGCGTCGTGGAAAAGTATATATTCATCGAGCTAGGACAAAATTGAAGTCTACGATTAGAAACATAAGATTCATCGTTACAGATAAGGTGATCACATCAATCGTGGGGTAGTGCCTTTATGATTTTATCACGCCTAGAGGAATTAGACAATTCAATATTAATATGTTTTGACCCCCAAAAAAACATTTAAAAAAAAAAACAAAAGGGTCTATTGAGCAATTCAATCTAGGTACAATGGCAATGGGAAAGGCAAAAAAGTTTGTGATTGCTACTGTTTGTCTATTTATTACACTATTTGTAAAGGTGGGGCAAAAAAAAAAAACAGTGAAATTACCATGCACTGATTGGGCTGATGCACATGAAATAGATGATGATTTTGTGGTTTCTGTAATTCTAATTGTATTAATTTTTCATATTATGTAAATTTAATTTAATTGATAACACCTCTTAAGAAATTGAATAGAAATTAAGAGTAAAATGGTGTATTCAAAAGGAAATGGACCATTTAAAATTAAACATCATCCTTCAATAATGAACTATTTTGTTCTATGATTTCAGTCTAATTTCTAAAAAGACATTATTAATTGAATTAAGTTGACATACTATTTAAAAAATAAATAAAATTAAAGATAAATTTGATATAGTAATTAAAATTACAAATAGTAAGCCGACACAATAGGGTTATCATAAAGTCAAGGTTCTTATTGCATTTGTCCAAAAGGAAAAGGACACTAATTACAATTTTTTGTTTTCTTCTTTGGTACCTTATTTGGAATGGAGCTAAATAGGAAATATTGAAGGGCCACTTCATGATTATTGAGTTCTAATTATACAAGTCATAAGATAGTTTAATATTACTAGAAACAAAAACAAAAAAAAAACAAGAGATTACAATTTATAATGACTTTACAGTTTAGGAAGTTTGTTTTTACACGTTAATGAATTTTAATTGCAATTGCTTCAAAGTTTATGTAACTTGTGTGTTCAATATATTTGGAAAAAAATAAATAAAATATCAATCTTTCTAATCAATTTTATGAGTTGACATGGACAGGATATTCTTTAGGATTTAAAACTTGTTGCAACTTGATCAGAAAAATCCTTCACTAGCTTTCTTATTTCCCAAAAAATAAAAATAAAAATAAAAAATTTAAAAATGACATGAATAAAACAAAATAAAATTACTTATAAGTAACCAAACAAAAATATGTGCAGTGTACAAAGATGCTTATGACTTCTTCTTTGTTTGGGACAAATTGCATTCTTTTAATTTACCACTTTTATTAATAAAAATATATATATATATCTAATAGTAACAATTTGACTTTAAAATTTTCATTTTTTGTCAAGTAAATAGTCTTTTAGGGCAAAATTAACAATTTATATACACTTTTTTCAACTAATTAAACTATTAACACTGTGTGTGTGGTTGAATGATTTAAAGAAAGATCTGAAAAAAGAAAGGGAAAAGTTAAGTGAAATGTAAATAAAATATATTACATTTCACCTTGTTTCACACACCTTTTTTTTTCTTTTCCTTTCTAAATCCCTCCATAAATCTCCTAACCAAACACAACGTAAATCTCTTGTTTTTTCCTCGGCTACTCACCACTTCCTCTCTTTCTTTCTTTCTTTCTCCTATTTTTCAACCACCTCCACTGCTTGCCAATGAAACCCACAACCTCAACCCATCACTTGCACCACCTCCATCTACCCCTGAAAGGGACCTACCATCGCTTCTCTTCCTTTCCATCTTCTATTTCTTTTTATTGTCTGTCTAACTCTCTGTTTTTCTTCTTGAGCCTACCATATTTTTATGACTAATAAAAAACCATTTGGGATTTATGTAATATCAGAGGAAAAGAAGTGGAGCTGCTTTTGGGCATGACATAAAGTATAGTGATTTTTTATTTGTACTCTTCATCAAGCCCTAAGTAGATACCTAACCAAATATTTGACATTACCCAAAAGGTGGAGACAATTTCAAATCTCATAAACCTTTCCTACATTATAAAACCTTTACAAGATCATATTCAGCACCTACCAAACATTAAGATCATCATTATTGGACAACATCATTCATTGAAGAATGTGGTTACCAAACAAGATTATAATCAAAGAAAATTGATTCAATATTTCTGGAAAAAGTCTATATAGTAGTTAATAGTTATTAGTCTATGCAGTAGAATCCATCATTTTAGACAATATGAGAAATATCTTTTTAACGATAAATGTGAACAATTGTTTGAGAAATACTTAATAATTTTCTCTAACTAAGATGTTTTTGATGAGCAATGGCACGCTTTGATTTATCATGACGGTACAATTGAAAAAGGTGCAAATCCACTGCTATTAGTTTAGTTGGTTAAAACATTTATGAGTATGTTTAGATATTGGATCTAAAAGAAATTTGTAGAATAAAAAGAAAACTAAAGAGAATTATGAATGTAATACAAGTTTTTTTTCACATTTCTTTTTCCTCCGCAAGTTTTTTTTTCCAAATTCTCTAAGAACAACCTACTTCTCTCTAGAAAGTCAAAGATCCGAGTTCATAAATATGAATTTAAATGTAAAAAGCAAGCCATCGAATTTTTACAATATTTTTATTTTTATTTTTATTTTGTGCACTTAAATGTAGTATTAGCCAAGACTACTATAATAAATGATCAATCCCAAAGTTTACTATAATAAATGATCAATCCCAAAGTTTCCTATAATGCAATTTTTTTTTTTAAAACATATTATTCTTCATCAATCCCAAAGTGAAAAATCAAACAACAATTTTATATTAGCCAAGAAGATAGAGACAATGGCAAATCTAATATAAGACTTTTCCTACCATAAATACAATATAATACATGATCAAACTTTTGTTTTTTAATATAAACATACTGGCCCCACCAATTAAATTAAATTAAGTTGTATCTACCAAACACAAAACTTCATTATTTACAAGAGAACATCATCACTTTCAACAATGTTGCCTTCTTATAATTGGAATATCCTAATACTTTTTTGTTAGCATGATTGTCGACACATCAAAACTCTATCATTAGTGACCTAATAGGCACTTGTTTTATTAATTAGTTCCATTAGGATATTGGGAGCTGTTATTTCCACATCCCAAAACATCTCTCACAATGGCATTATTTGGTAGAAATTATTGTAAATCAAAATAATTTATATCATAATTAATTCATTTAAATTATTTTCCTCTTAAAATGTAGGGTAATTATCTATATACGCATAATCTAAAAGAATCTCTCTCTCTCTCTCTCTCTAGTTTTTCAATAATTGTGTTAAAAAAAAATTCAATAATTAATTAATTTAAATTATTTGATGTCATTCAATTATAAGATAATATTTAATAATTTCAGAATTTTATAAGGCCGTTTGACAAAGCAAATAGCTAAAAGGTCAAAAAAGTAACTAAAAAAATAAAAGGAAGAGTTACCGATAATTCTTATATGTTGGAATTATGTTTCAATTAGTCTCATAATTTTGTGTGTGATTCATTTAGTTTTTTTAATGTGTAATGACTCATTTGTCTTTATAATCTCATTAATTGTTGTTGTTTGTTGGAATGTTACGTTTGAAAAAAATATATTAATAAATTTTTTTGAGTGTTACATTAAAGTGTTACGTTTGAAAAAAGTACATTAAGTAGTTTTTTAGTGTTTGTTACATTGGAGTATTATGTTTGGAGTATACATTTGAATTTTATGTTTGGAGTGTACATTAGAATATTACATTTGGGAAGAGTACGCTAAATTTTTTTTTTAAAGTGTTACATTTAAGTGACAAACATGATCCAAAAATTAAATCTAACTTCCCTAAGATGAGATCCCCCAATGGGGAATGGAAGAAATATCCCCTAAATCATACCAAAATTCAAAATAGGATCTCACAGGAAAATTGTCAAAATAAACAAACTTATTAATATATTAAAAAATCTAAGAAACTAATTGAAGTAATTGATTCTCATATGAGATTTTCTGATAATTTTCAAAAAAAAAAAATGTTAAAAAGCCACTGAAACACAAGTCAAACACACCAGTCCATCAAGTTTTTTCTATTAGAAAAGTCATTTCTAAATATGTTAAATTTTTTTTTTCACATAAAAAGGACAAAAGTATAAAAATACTTTAAAAAAAATCAAATTCCAAACCATGCTATATAACTTTGTTGATATAGTGCACTCAACTAATAGCAGTGCAAAAAAATTTATAGGTAAGGCAATGTTGATTTCCTTTTATTAAGTAGTTAAGAGACGATAAATAACTTTATTGACGCTAAAAATTGTATATTCTCTATCGATTGTATGTAACAAATGCAAAGAATTAGTCCAGCGGGTGCTAGGTTTAAAGACCACGAGTTTCCATAAGTTTACAAGTGAAAGCCGAGTGAATATGAAGCCTAGAATACAGAGCAAGTGACAGAAAGGAAGTAGTCAAAAAGACAGACGTGGCAATTGCAATTTTCCTGTCGATTCGTCAAGTAATGAAGTGGAATGTGGCTAAACATGGCCCAAGTGTCAAGCCATAAAGTTAGCATGCAAGGCATATAGGATACGTGTCATGTTTCCTAGGAGGAGAAAAGCTGCAATAGAGAAGCAGTTACTAACAGTTGTAGAGATCATGGACATTGAAGTGGAGGTAGTTGGCTATATGATGGGACACGTGGCAGCAGAGCAGCAGTGGAGTTTGAAGACCAGCAATATAAAAGCTGGGAATTCGAAGTTAGAAGGCCTTCAAACAAATTTACAATCCTTACAACATTAGGAGTAACTTAACTTAGTTAGTTCTTACTTAGGAGTAGTCTATCTGTAGTTCAGTTCCTATAACTAAGAATTCTCCGTCGATTGTCATGTACATTGAACTGGGAGTTTAATTTTACTGATTAAATTCCAAGTTTGTTTGTTTGTTCAACAATTGATTTTCAGTTTATTCCTTCTTGTTTCTTCGCATTACAGCCTCCAAAGAAATCCTTGAATCTGTCAAGGCATAGAATGTTCAGACCACAATTGTTTGATTTGTTGTTACTTGTAAAAGTTTAGCTTCTCTGTCGAATCACCCCTGCGGATTTGACCCAGACCAGATTTTTTGCTAACAAACCTACATAATATATTTTGTGATTTCTCATTTATTATAAACACTACATAAATAATCACATGATATTTCAAGATTACCTAATAATTTTTTTAAATGATTAACAAGCAGCACACAAAGCACTTTGACATAAACTCCTATAATAACAAATTTATAAGAAAAATATTTGGTAGTTTGAATTTGTGTGGCCCGAATAACTTGAATGTATCAAAAC